CTGACATCAGCTTACGCATTGCAAAAGCCGGAGCTACCTCCTTGAACCTGCGGCATCTTTAGCGACAGAAGGGAATTTCCCTACGTCTGAAAGGCCGTGTATACAAGGCCACAGTGAGGGCCGTTCTGCTCTATGGTAGTGAGACTTGGCCCCTTCAGTCTGAAGATCTGAGGCGCCTTCAAGTCTTTGATCATCGTTGTCTGCGAAGCATTGCTGATGTCGGATGACACCAGTGTGTCCGCAACGACGATGTTCGTAGGCGAGTACTAGGTAGTGATAATCATGCTAGCTCCCTAGAACAACAGATAGCACTGAATAAGTTGCGTTGGCTCGGGCACGTGCTACGTATGCCTGGTCACCGCTTACCTAGGAAGGCCTTGTTCAATTTACCAGGTGTAGGGTGGCGCAAGTCTCGTGGTGGACAGAAGTTGACTTGGCAGCGGGAAATGAAGTCACTGACTACCAAACTGGGTGCTGTTGGTCCGTCTCGTCTTCTGGGCTGGAATCAACGTGACTCGCCTAGTGCTTGTCTCGAGACTTTACAGGACATGGTTCGCAGTAGACACCAGTGGCGCGTCTGCTGCCGTCTCCTAATCGGATTGCCTGTTTAAAGTGTGTTTGGTGCTGAGTTATCTGCGGGGTAATGGCTGATTATGACGCGTGGCAGTGAAAGCCGCAAGGAAGCTGTCTCGCCGATGCCGCCTTATCTTTGCACGATAGCCAGCTGTTTGTGACGGTATGTTGTTAACACAAGGTGTAGGCGCCTTGACCCTGAATGTTTGCTTAGGGCATTAAGGTTTTCAGGTAATTCCCCCTTCTCTCCCTCTTATTCTACATTTCATAGTTCCTCATGGTTGTATGGCAGCAAGCATCAGTTCAAATGGCTGATGTACTGCTGTTGATGATGATGATGATCTTGGCCATCGATTTATTGAAATACGGGCGGACTGGATTTGCTTCTCCAAGTGTCATCGTACACACAAGCAGTTTTCAACATCTTTGACCTGATCTTATCCATTTGTGGCATGTAGTGGGGCAATTTCTCTCTATTTTAGATTCTTCCCAATTCGAACACATGTTGCGTAGGTGGGTGTGCAGGGCGCTGTCGCCTGGTTTTTTTGCATCAACCGATGTTTGTCGTGACCACACAGATTGACGGATTTTGCATATCTAGATGACGTGCATCTCCCTAGCTCGTGGTCCCCATTGGTGTAGGTAACTACTACCGAATGGGACTACACCTCGCAACTCCAAAATCTAAAACTGGGTCAATACACCACCATTTTTTCTACTCACGGAAGAAACACTCGAAATGATCGATCGCTTTGCCAATTTAAGTAACTTCTTCGCCCCTGATTGTCGCTTCAACGAGAGATTGCCGCGCGCCTTGTTAAGACGTCGGCCGGTAACCGGGTGGTCTGCGCGTCTGGTTTGCGACCATAAGGTCACCGGTTCGAATCCGCGTAGGGGTGGACGTCCTCGCGCGCGATTGCTGCTGATTGCGCGGCAGCGAAGCACCGATACACCTTACATCTGGTAATTCGTTTATTATTATTATTTTACTTACTAAGGCTTGTGCGACTTTTCCCAAAGTTGGTCACAATACCTAATCATTATACGATCCAACAATGAGGGTCATAATAAGTGAGACCATTCTTCTTGTGAATTCAAGCGAAATGGTTCAAATCCGTAACCGGGCCAAAATATTTGCACGTCGCGCATTGAATGACCGCGAGTAGTTGAGTTGCCGTCCTTCCTTTTTGAGTTCAAGTGGATCAAACCCCATCTCGACGTGCTCTGATACCGAGGGACGCGTATAAAAAATACGCAAGGTGCAAAGATATAAAGTGTTCCGAAAAAAACAACGATAAGCCGCTGAAACGTTTGAGCGGATGACCGACTCGAACAAAAAAGGTTTTTTATTACAGTTTTCCTATCGTATAAACTGTAATTAGGACATAATTTACCTTTACTTATGGAATCTAGAAAGTCATTTACTATTCACCTATTTCAGTCTCACTAAGATAGCGAAATACGCGTTCTACTTCTTTATAACCCATCCGGACTCAGAAAATTGATCGCTCCCACTTCTGGGGCCGTGTACCGTATGTCGGCAAATTTATTTAGTTTATTTATTTATTTAATGTCTTGCGACACCTCTCCCCTAGAATTTACCAATCGCTTTATCGCTCTCAACCGTCGTTAATCACTATGTTACCGCTGCATATAAACTATGCCTTAAATAGGAAGACAGACTAATACGAGTTCATTACACCGTTAGGAAAATCCACCATTTTTTCATTTGCCACAGAATCAACTTCTTGCGTGTACATAGGCTTTTCTGTGCTCGACCAGAACACAGGCCCCGTTAGATTTGAGTCATCATCATCATCATCAATACACGTTAGCTTGTGGTGAGAAACACATCTCAGCTAATGTGTTGCAATACAAACAAGATATCAAACATTACAAAACAAAAACAAAACAAGTAATATAATGCCAAATATCATATTATGCATCTGGTATGAGTTTGTGATTAATTGGTTGGCTGAGCCTGTTTCCTTCTACCACCTGAGGTCAGTTAGGAATAAGTCCGTTGCGCAGTATACTACGACGGGACACAAATGATGCCTTGTGTGCACATCAAAGTGCTCACGCCATGTTTACCAATTCGCGCTGCGATGTGTCCTTAAAGGTGGGGTATCAACAACACGAGTGGACTCGGCACGCTGTGCGCTGGCGCTTCACTACGGTAAACGGCCTGACCGGCATTCTACGCATACGCAAGCATTATGTGCATAGTTTACGCTTTCAACGAACGCGTTCATCAGTGCAGCTGTTCGGCGAATCCCGCCACTTAATCAATTTCCAGACAGTTCGATGTTGCCAGGATATTTGGGGATAACAACGACGAACGGTTCACAGTGCCCCCTGGTTGCTATGGTTAATATCACCACCAACACCGTCACTTCTGTGTTATAAACCTCGCTCTTGGCTGCGCTAGTTTTAGAAATAATTAGGAATTTTGGTTGCGGTTCTACGACTGACATTGAGCTGTCTGCTTACTGGAATCAAGTACCCAGCCACACATAGGGATTATTATCATGTGACGACTCCGCGTGATTTCGATGCCTTACTTTGATTCTGAGGTATTTTCTGTCTTAATTGACCAGCCCATGGAGTGCAAACTACGTGTCTCCATGGACACATTACCTCGGTCATGGATTGCTTAAGCACTCGAGCCGAACCACGTCATTTGTAGGCTGCTATCCGTCCGAAAAGAGAACGTTTCACTCACAAATTCCTACATGAACTCAATGAAACGGTGTTGATGCTCATCATCTTGTGTTCTCCTTTATCTTTTCGTTCCGATCCTACCACATCTCTTGACTTCCGAAGGGCTTTCTCATGGATTTATGAGTTATGCAATCCAGGCTCCGCCGAATGCTGTCCTCCTTTACAGCAGCGCAACTTGGCCTCTTCAGCCCTATATTCTCAAGCACCCTCAATTCTTTACCTGTGGTTGCCTGTGCTGCAGACGAGCGAGTGGATGCTATGCGGTGGGGATGAGCACAGCTTATATGATCTACAAACATGCGTGTCAATTGGCTTGAGCATATGGTACTTGCACCCGTCCATTGCTTACCAGCGGGTGTTTTATTCGGCAAGTAAATCGTTGCGTAAATTCCGAAAAGAATCATCACCGGGCTGTTGCGATTGCCGGTCTCGTGCACGCCACTAGATTCGGCGCCTTTGATTCGTCTTGCCTTCCAGACTAAAGTCCGTACAACATTACAATATAGGCAATGCGTTTGCGGTCGTGTCCTAGTCCGGCCACGTGTCAGAATATGTGTGCATTTGGATTTTCGTGGGAGATTGTCGTTAATGATACGACACAGTGAAGGATACAAACAATCTGTCTCGCCAATGCTGCTTTATCTTCACGTGATAATCAGCTGTTCGTGCCTCCTACCTGTTAGTACTGCGTTGCCACCTAAACCCCGAGGTTTTGTCTGATTGGTTCGAGACCTTTCACCGTTCGTACTCATTAGTGGGATCATCTGCTTAAATCTCGGTTCCATTGTCACCGGTCAGGATAATAGCTGCTCCGCAAGCGAGGCCAATCAACAAACCCAGCAGGACACGCATTGCATGTCACCACCGCCTTGGGAAGCTGAATTTTTGCGCTTTGTGACTTCTCTTTTACCAAGCCACCGATATCCCAAATCGTGCATTGTTGTGCGCCAGCTTTGCCATCTTAGTTCCATTCGTTGCGCATCCGTTTCCCCTACTTCTACCACCTGCATGCGCGAACTGATCAATCCCCCTCTGTTCCCCGATTGCCTTTCTTCACTGAGTAGCAAATGTGCTCCAAAGTCAGTGTAAAACTACATCGAGGTGGACTACATCACCTCACAGTTGATGCACAGCATCAGGGTTCTATTCGCATTGTCCCAACGATGGGCTCCACGTTTTTCGAAGCACACGGAGGAGGTAGGTCCACCGGTCACCTCAGTTTGACTGTGATTCTTTGTACCTCGACCTCGAGCTGTCAATGATCGCCTTAATTGTATAGTGCGCTTTCATTACCAACTGGTTTCGTCTCTACGATTGTGCGGATGCTGATGAATAAGACTTACTCACTCGTCTTTATGTACTTAACCCGTTGTCTATCCAGTTGCTGGCGAAATTGATGAGGTTGCTACAATTGGCCTGGCCGGGCCCCCATCTTCCAGACTTACTATCGCGTCGTCCGTTGAACACGGTTTCCGTTTACGCATTTTCTGTTTTCACACCACACAATCTCGTAATCACGGGGGGTTCCATTTGTATCGCACGATTTCATCGCCTTACACGTTCGCACTACCGTCTTCTCGACATCATTTCCGATCTCTTTGCCCACCATTTTCCGTCGGCTTCATTTAACGACCTCCACAGTTCAGACCTATGCAAATGAATTGATAACGCTTATTATTCTCCCTCTCCCTTGTTAACGTCAGGAATAACGTTCTTCATCTTTGGCCATATCTGATAGAGGACCTTCGTGGACTGGGTGCGAAGACATTCTTTGGGAAGTTTTGCGTCGGTTCCATCGATCACGTCAGTAAGCGAGTGTTACACGGACTTTTATGTTTCAGGCCTTTTGTACCACAGTGGTTTTTTCCCCATTCACTGTGAAATTATGTGGCGATTAAAGATATCTCTATGTGCCATAGGGATACAACTTCTCCTCAGATCAACGATTTCCCCAGATCCGAGTAACCGCCATCTCGGTATGAAGGCTATGTCTCATCTGTTCTCGTTTTTCTGATAAGGCTTTCTTCCCAATAGTTCACATGCTACATAGTAGAGTCTAGTCCGAAAAAGCACCAGACGCGTTTCGCCCTATTGGGGCTTGTCAGTGGTGCGCATTTCCTCGGTCCTCTAAGGAGGATTGAACCCTTGACTGCTAGAGGTAGATGCCAACTAGCCAGCAGCTGGACTACATAATTTTCAAACTAACTGGGATATAGCACCACCTATCTTTCACTGTCACTGACAATGGTTAGGTTGCGAGGTGATGACGTCCTCTCGCTTTTCTTTTCTTTCAGTAGATCCATTCGTGCGTAATCCTTTCCCCAGATACCATGAAGTGACTGTGGCTTCCTGAGCGGCCTGCTTTCCGTAACTTGCCCCGATTACCTTCCCTTGTTTTACTCCGCTTGCTGTGCGATTTGTGAGCTCATTAGATGCCTGCTCGGGGTCAAGTGGGAGCAAGAGAGGTAGGCGGAAAATAAAGAATGCTGGCATTAACAGTAGCTTCTTTTCGCTTATTCGTCCTGTTGTGTGCGGCAGATAAGGCGCCCTTTGATAAGCCGCGCGACGGCTGATGCAGGGTACATTTGAAGTTTGAAGAAGTAACCATGTTTGTATGTGGCCTGATATACTGCTAGGGACCTAGGAACCTAGGAAGGACCTAGGGACCTAGGAAGGAGAACGATTATGGTCCTCAACCAAGGTCTTTAGCTCAAAACCCTCTCAGCAAAGCAGCGGGGTGGCAATGAGTGTTTTACATAAATGGACGCCATCCCATTTCAAACCTCCAACCTGGAGGACAAAGCGACTTAGTTCGCCTGACTTTTAACCGTTGGTCAACCTGCTAGGAATAGCTCTCAAGGGGCCCGGGGGTACCACCCAGTATAGTTCAATGTGTCAATTGGTACCCAAACCGACGCACCATGTTAGGGTCCGGTTTCATCACCACGGAAGTGAGAGGCATCAGCAGTACGCCAGTACGTTGCACTGCTGCTTCGCTGCCATAGGACCACCACCAGTCGCGTGTGAGCCGGGGATACTGCTAGGTCGCCCGTGTCGGCACGCGGGCTCGAATCCGTGACGTTTAGATTATAAGGCAAATATCTGGAAGACGACGTCGATCTTTATCGACTCAACTCGTTTCCAACACTGCGCCCATGCAGTGCCAGTGGAGCATATAGCCTTCGGTAACTTTCCTAATTGGTGCTTCACTCTGTAGATTCTTTCCATGTAACCTCTTGTCTTACTTGCTCTACCGCTACTCGTCCCTGTCCTCACTTCGAAACGATTCAGCACAGCTGCGTCCACCGTACTCCGGTATTGGGATCGTAATTGTTCGTGGATTTTGCTCCCGCATCCCTTTGACGATGCATGCATTCACGGACCACTAAGTGGTGTTCACGGGAGTTGTTGACACTCCTGTTGGCTTCTCGCTCATATTAGCGAACGTACTTGCTGTCACATTGTGGCATAGATCCTTTCTACAGGATGTGTTTGATGGGGTCTGCGCACGGCATAAAGCAAACCATATGTGATCCTCGTTCAGCTACGTGATCCGTCTTAAGAACGTCGCCTAGCCTGTTGCGTCTGCTTGATCAGGTTCGTTAGTAAGCCACTGTTTGTGATGACTTGACTCGTGTTTTGTCTCCGGCCCTTGGGACTGAACAACCACACTCGAACGTTTTGCGGCTAAGTGCTCACTGAGACACTTGTGGTGTCACTTGAGTTATCGGACTTGGGTACAAACACATTGCCAAGTCAAATCCACCCACACTCCCGACGGACAATGGGTTATTGTCCACCTCTTTATTTTACCCTCATTTCACTTTGTTCATTCTCAGTATCGGATAGGTGAGTTCGGGATCAGTGGTTACCGCGCATTCGATGTGACCTCTATCGTCACTAGTCGAGTTGGTGAAAATGTGGCTGGGTACTGACCCAGCTTCAGCGTTTCTCTCGGGTTTGGTAGCCTGCAGTACATTTAATTTCAACTCGATACTCATCCGAATTCATCTTATTAACGACGGAATCCATTGAACTTGCTATGGCGACTGCTGCTACTGCATAGTCATCGCTTTCGTGGGGCTTCCGTCACGTAACGGGCTACGTACCGGCCTGGTGCGCAGCTGATGCATGTGTTTCACTAGATCTATCTTCAGCCATCGTCTGAAGGATACCGACTCCGAACGCATCAAACCTTCGTAAGTGGGCCTGTTGCACGCATGCATCCGCAACCGAGTATCGTCAGGATTCTGGAACACTCAAGCGGGCCAACCTACCCATATGTTGATGTGATGTGGATGCAGTCCGAATCATTTGAAGTTCTCACCTTCACCTCTCAATCTCACCATTCCTTCTAGTTTGAACCGATTTCACTATGCAGAAATTGGACACCAACCACTTTTTGTGCCTCCCCAAACACAAATTTCCTGTGGCTGTCCACGGCCCTCTTGTTCTCCACACGCAAACGACTGTTACCAATCACGCATTAGCAGCCACACCCTACCTATAGGCTAACATCATAGAGCATGCATTGTCTCCTGACCGGTTGTTGGTGTTCATGTACCTTACATCATGTGTAGTTCACTTTGTGATAAGCTCAATGTGACACCATTACACCCCACAATACGCAATTTGCACATTCGTCTTTCCCCTTTCCTCCAGGTATCCGTACTCTCCAATGTATTCTCCTCAAAGTGGCTCTCCTCTTCGGTGTCCAAATTTTCCCTGGTGTGGCCTATCGTGGTCTTGTTCAACCGACTTCCGGTGAGCTCCCTGGGTCCTATATTTCAACCCGTTAGTTTACACTTTATGCATAGCATTTCTTGCTGGATCACCTTATTTTGTACTCTTTCGCGTCCACCTGAACCCGTCGCAATCTCACAGTCACTTTACCGGGTCAGCCAGAATTACCATACACGCCCGCTCTTATAATCACGCCGGAGCACATGCAATCCTATCAACCTGCTATCGAAGATAACCCTTTCTCCTGCGTTATCAGACCCCTTAACGATTGAGCGCTCAAATGAAAGCCGATGCACCAACGGTCGCTAGCGATCTATCATACGTGTCGGCAGCGCTGAATCACAGTGGATTTGCGAATGCATTGTACTGTTGTGTTATTTGGCTGTTCTCCTTTGTCTTGTTATCTGCAGGATGGTCCAGGTAGGTCGGTTGACTGTCCAAACTCGGATAGCACGCTGTTCAGTCATGTAATTTTACGCTGACCTCGTGAACTGGCACTCCAGCCACACCAACAATCTGCTTCCTGTGACAACGACTCTGACGTCACACACACACGGCGTGCCACGCACATCGATCACATGTAACGCTGTCTGGGCGCCTAGGAATGCCACGACCACGTCGTCACAGGTCACCCGAGAGTATTGATCATGTCCTCCTCTTATGCACCTTTAAACACCGGTGTTCCAACCTACCTGATCGGGCGCGGGTTTTTACGCATTCATGCATACTTTTGCTTTTTGCCTCGTGCACTCGGACTGTTGCGTGCCGAGTCTCTATGTCACAGCACACGTCTGTGCACGGGACATGGCGGACGTTTCGCTGTCTACGTAAGCACCCAACGCGCTTTAACGTCCCGAACCGCGTGAATCGTGTGCTGTCGCTCAGACTTGTTGCGCGCTCAGACACACGGACCCCTTAGGCTATTTTCCGCTCAACGATTCCACCAGCTACCGCGCCCATTCTGGCTGAATGGAGCCCTCTGTATATAGTCGATTACCTATATTCCTACTAAAGTGGGGCTGTCCGTATGTTAGGGTTGCCCCCTGTACTGCATCGTCCCCAACTTCGCTACGCTCACGCTACCCAGCAGAACGACGCATGTGGATCATGCTCCCGCTGCATCTCCAGCAATTGATCTGTACTGATGCTACGTTGGCAAAAACTGGTACTTATCAAGCTACGCTTTCAACAGCCCTTCGGCGTACCTCTTCGATCGTATACCTAATCATATTCCATATTGTTACCCGTTTTGTCTTCAAGCAAGTTAAGTTCTATCGTCTCAACCATTACCTCTATCTGTTTTTATTCTGGATATGGCAATATTGCTTTCTTATGAGTGGGAAATTTGATGTAACCCAGAGTTGGTCTGTTACAATTTGCTCACAGCCAGACGGTCTCGCACACATCCGGAAAAGCACTAAACGTGACTTATATCGCGGGCACCGCGAAGTCATGGGTTCGGTACCCAGTGAGGGCGCGGGATGTGCACCACTAACGCATCCCAATGAGATGCAACGACATCTCTAGCTCGTTTCCGCACATGTGGTAGACTGTGTCTGACTTCAAAGGCAGCTGCAATGAAACCTTCACAACCACTGCTTTCGCGTTTATTAGGATACCCACGGCCAAATCGATGCGCATTGTTTGCACGCCATTTTTAAACCACTGGTTTCGTTTTCATCAGATCCTCAGTTGTATCCGCTTCTGAACTCTGACCGTTGCATCAATCTCACTTGCACCCAAACCTACTCTAGATGTTTCCGACTCGTTCAACCTGAATGTGCCTAATCGACTGTTTGTCAATCAAGACACCTCCTCCAGCGCCCCCCTTATGAACGGGCACTTTCGAGATGTGGCAGACCATCCTTCTCACGTAAGGAGAAGACACACACCCTCAACGAATGGCACAGTGTATCACTCGGAGCTGGGACATTCGCGTCGAACTGTCGGATGGCGCGTAAGACTGGAACCCGAGGTGGTCGCGTTACAGAACTACGAGATTGATGTTCTCATCGGTGCGGACGGTAAACGAAGTTGCATCGGTGAGGCATGGTTTGTGCGTTCGAGTCTTGTTGTTCACTTGTTGTTGAACTGTTATCACCTTTTTCCACGATGAATCTCCACTCCCTTGAACACTTTTATGGTCTCTCATGCAAGCCTGGTCTGCTTAAGCGTTTGCGTCTTCCGGCCCTCCACTCGTGTGATCACTGCCCTTATTTCATTCTTTGGGAAAACGTTCTGCTATGCGGCGTTGGGGCGATTGTTACTGTATGGATCCGCTTTGGGGATATTAGAGAGCTGATTGCGCTTCACCACTCCGATGTCCCTACGAATTATTGCTCACATTTGGTGGGAGGACCCAGTGAGCAACTTTGCAGTTCGGCGTCTGGTGCCTCGGCACCAGACATTACTGTGTCGGTCGCATTCTTACCGCTTACCTACTACCTCGGTCGTTTCTTTTGCCTAATTACTAGCTTGTTCTATCTTCGCGCACTGCTTGCCAATTCTATGCGAATAACTTCGTGGTTCACGTATAAGCGAAAGAGTATTGACTTGTTAAACCTAGTCCTTGCTTGAAATCGCTGTCAGATATGATAAACTTACGACGCTTGCGTCGTTTTTGCGTTCCTTCACATGGTTTTACTGTCATCAGCCCATACTTCATACACTAATTTTATTACTTTTTTCGTCATTTCACTATCATTATTCATTTCTGTGGGGGCTTTTTACGGCAGTGTGTGTCAAGACAACTTGATCTGCTGCACACGGTTACAGAGAAAGAAAGGCATCAACACTACGCCGGTATGCAGTACCGACGCTTTGTTGGGGCGCAACCATCACCGGTCGCACGTGGTCTATGGAGATACTGCGAGGGTCGCCCGGTCCCTCACGCAGGCTCGAACCCGCGACGTCAGATTACAAGCACGTTACCTTTGTGCTACAGGCTGTAGTGTTTCTGGTTGCTCTCTCCCAACCCCGGCAGGGGTTTCCTTCAAACTAGACCCTGACCCTAATTTACATTCTGTGTTGCAATCCAGCTACACGGCGGGCACTCCAAAACCTAACAGTCCACTTTGAGTTGCTTTATAGATTAACTCATGGGTATTTTATCCGCATGGCGAGTGGATCCGGTTCGTTTGTGTCTCAGATTCCTTCGCTTTAGACCGTACTAGAGCAACTTTGCTCTCCCTTCCTACTCACCCCCTGTTTCACAGTTGATCGTCAGTCATCGTGCGATTGTGGTGTGTTCCATTTGTGCAACTGCCTGCTGTCTATTTTCTCAGTTTAGTCCAGTTGAACAACTATGATCCGAGCACCGAAGTGCGGTAGCTCCAGTTGTCATGACTGACATCACATGAATAACAATTAATAGCAGCAGCAAGATAGTGTGATTATAGAAAAAATGCACACAAGAAAGAGGTGCGTTAGACTAATCAGAATGGAACGAAAAATTAGCCAACAGATACAATCAACCGGATTCAGAAACGCCACTGATTGTGTGACTGCGTCATGTGATACGGTCTCCGAACATTGGTGTGGACCATCCCGATTCCCCATCCACGAACATGGCACGCACCAGTCTGACCAAATCTCTCGGTCAATTTCTTCATGCCTCCATGCCACGTCATGGACTGGCCACTTGGCGATTTCGCCTTAATTGCTGCAACTACGGCGTATAATGCACACCGAGGAAGCCGTTCAACGGGCATACGGAGGACATGACCTAACTAACGTAGGAGGTTACGATTAAGCAAACACTCGACGGAAGTGCCAGGTTTGTTTTTTTTACAAAAAACCAACTGGCAGTCCTCAGCATTGCTCACCCGATGCTCCCACCAGACATGAGCGATGCTCCGCAAGCACCGGTGGTCAAACACGGCCAAGCGTTTATTGTCTTTACCGTGAACTGGCCAGGTCTCTGATCCATCCATTAAGGCCAGCCTTACCGTAGCGTTATAAACCCTACCTTTCATTGACAAGGTGATACCCCGCCGTCCCCATAGATGGTTGAGACTCTGGAAGGTCATCCGGGCCTTGTTGATACACGATGTAACTTTCTCGGTGATGTGACCGCTAGAGGTTACATAGCTACCAAAGTAAGTGAACCGACCCACCACTTCCACTGGCTGTTCAGTGATAGCTAGAACCATAGTTGTGTCGCCCCAGTGCTGCAGTAGTCATTTGCACGTTGAAAGTGCAAAGCACATGCCGACGCATGCAGCGCTACGCACAGGACTGTACAGTAGTGTTTTAATGATCGCTGCATTAGACCCAGAAGGAGCTATCTCGTCCGCCCACTTCAGGTTTGTCAGTCAGTCACCTGGAAGAAATTCTACACAAGTGGAGTCTGAAAGAAGGGAATCACTCGTGATCATTTCGATCACAAAGTTGAAGAGGTAAGGAGTTATAAGACAACCGTAGCGAATCGCAATTGTCGTGGGAAACTCAGGGGATAGTTTCCCATAGACCCTTAGTGAGCCTCGGAAGTCACGGTAGAGAGACTGCAGAATGGAAGGGAGTTTAGCTGGCACGCTCTTCATGGATAGGCAATGCCACAAGCTGGTGCGGTTAACACTGTCGATAGTGGCTTTCAACACAAGGCAAACCACCATAGTCGGTCGTCTGTATGTGCGTCTCTGCTCTAAAACTTGGCGAAGAGTAAATATGTGGTCGATACAACCACGGCCAGGGCGGAAGCCAGCTTTCATTGAATTGGTTCTCAGGAGACCAATAAGTCATCGGAGAATGATACCCGTGAGGAGTTTTGATGCAATGGAAACAAGGCTAATATCTCGATGGTTTTCGCACCAATACGCTAACTCTTCTTGAAAATGAGCACGACAGTTGACAGCCGTCAGTTCGAAGTCATCTCTTCAGTTCCAAATCGTGTTAAATAAAAAAGCAAGTCCAGTCAACAAGGGGTCACCGCCATCTTTCAGCAAAATGCAGGAAGGTAGTCGGCCCGTGTGCGTTGTTTCCTTTCAACACGGGACGCTGAAATCTAATCCCTTCCAAAGTGGGTGATATGATATCTACTTCTCACATCGGCTCAGGCATTTCGGAGGCATCAGTGTCGCAGCAGGTCTGCCGAACTGCTCTTCAAGATGTTCCGCCCAACGGTTAAGTCGTCGACTCTGGGTATGGATCAACTTCATCTTTCTCACCTATTGTCTCGCTAGTTGATGGCTTTATCGGACCCGTATTACAGATGAGCTGGAATAGCACTCGGCTGTTCCCAATAGCACTAGCTTTCTCCATCGCACGTGTCTTTGCCATCCACCAACATTCCGGTTGATTCGAAGGCTTTTTGCCAGACGTCGTTTCAGTAAATTACGGACACTGAAACTCAGTGCCCATCGGAACCTGTTTCTGTGTTCCGCTCAAAACCGATCGATACTTCAGGGATCCGTCTCTTTTCTCGGCACCCAATTATACCGATACCAAGTTCAGGACATTGTAGAGTTGTCTACAACCTGAGCAAACTGGTCTTTTGCGTTGATTGTGCTGCTCGTTATGAGGACATCTGCAGTCGAAGTTATTGCTGCTTCGTTAGATTTTCGATTCTGGTTGAGCGAGTTGGTTTAATGTAGGTAGAGTTAACGAAGCGTGTAGTGTCTTGTACATGAAGAGTTACGTTATGTGTATTGGGACTGCAGCTATTTGGGGTACACTACCCCCACTGTTCTCTCATATTGCGGTTTGCTGTCTCAATCTAAGCCTCGGTGTATTGTGAAGTAATTCCTTTCTCCTGGTTTATATCATCTTCACACTAAGCAGTCTCAACACACGCCGTCCTCCATTTCCGCTATGCATAAGCTATTTTTTGGTATCCAGTTCCATTTAGTTTGAAACACCCATTTCCTCTGTCCTATTCCTATTGCCTTGAGAAATAACTACTTGGTGTATGTTTCATTTTTTTCGCCAAATGTCCCCCCAAACAGAAGGGTTGCTACTTTATGGGCTGCTAAGATCCCATCCGGACTGGCTTTCGGGGTTAAGTGATTACTTCCTTTTTGTCTGTTATTTATATATACAGTCAAATCTTTCTAAGGCGACCACTCAAGGAACCGACAAAAGGTGGTCGTCTTGGACAGGCGGTCGCCATTGACAGGTTTATCCATAGGGATATTACTCATAGGAGAAACATTTGGAGATGTTTTTCGCCGGTCGCCATAGCAGGTTGGACTGTATAAAAGTGGTAATCCTCATAACTACAGGACCGAAATCCAACGGCACAATTTCCCTATACCAACTGCCTTCACGCTCTGTTTCACCGATTAGGTTGCCTAACTTTGACTGTCATCGATTTCTCCCCCACCCCATTCAATAAGGTTGGAATGTTAACAATCACATCGCTTTCTGTAGTGTAATAGCGGCACCGTTTGGCTTTTGAACTGCCGCCGGGCTCACCCCTCTTTCCATTCATCTATGTTAGGCTGTATACAGACGTTTCTGGTACCGTCGGATTGATGCCTTGTCACATTACTCCTTTCCAACGGGATATATATATATATATTTATATATATATGGTTGGCGGCATCCGGTTTCGCATTTGCCCGTCACTGTGGCAAGCCACAGGACGTCTACGCCTACAGAGGGACCATGGATGGCTTGCGCTGCACCACCCACAGCTCCAACCACACACCCCATATCCAGTGTAAACCCGAAGGAATAAGACCGGGAGGCATGCAGATGGGAACCAGGTTTCATCAACGGAGCCGGTCCACATTCCATCACAGGCAAACACAAGCAAGCTGTATTTAGGAATAAAGCGCACACAAGGCGGTGGCTGGACCGTAGTCTGCTCCACACTAAGTACATGGAACCACTTTGATCTTAACACGGTCACAAGGACCGTGCACCCTGTCCCCTCCAGCAACGACCAACTGTTTCCTGGAGCCAGTATGGACGAGGTAGTGGGTAATAGACAGGTAGGCACCTTGTCAACATGCACATCAAGCGCAGCCACACCGGGGATATCAAACAACAGCCAAGCACCTGAAAGAGAGAAAGAAAAAGAGAAAAACTCGATTAATGCATA